CTGGACACTTGTCATGTTGGGGAGTGGGGGCATTTATGAGCTCCAAAAGTGGCCACATGGCCGAATACTTGTTTTCTTATTTCTTTTTTCTTTTAATCTTTTTGTTTTTGTCACTTGTACCTTCCAAACAATTAATTTTCCCCGGAAATTATCAAAATCTTGCAATTAATTATGAAAATGTCATATCATCTCGCGAGATTTTGACGATAAATAAAATCAAATCCCGACCATTTATTTTTTCAATCTTAAGGCTAAAAATAGTACTCGCGGTTTCTACCATTTTTTGAGTTCCTACTTGATCCTTCTTTTATATATATATATATATATATATATATATATATATATATATCCCCCAAACTAATAAATAAAACCAATTTTGACACGTGGCATTGTATTAGCTCCTCCCCAATCAATTTATCCCGCCTAAAATACTTAAGTGATTTTCCGAAACTACCCTTTGTGCCTCTTATTCATTCGTTCGGGAAACAGCCGCTCATATTTGAAACCCTAATCTAGCCTCTCATCAGTCAAAACCACAAATTGTTTCTTATACGAAATTCAAATTTTAAGATGTCAACAAATCAAGGCTATCCAATTGAACGCTCATTTGTTCTGAATGATTGCCAATCAAATACCGTTAATTTTGTGATCTTCCTTCGATATCGCCTTCTTCCCAAATTGAAAAGCAGTTTTTGAAATTTGAATTCCTCCCCTCGCTCCATGGTTAATATGTCATAGACAAATTGCATCTTAAAGTGATACCAGGACCGTGGCACCAATAAGTGGTTTTGGTGGATTTGGAATTTTTCTCAACCGAGGTCAATGTACACAATAAGATTCGATTAAAGGTACCTCTTTCCTCAAAGTCTTTTATCCTACAACTCATATCTCCTGCTCCTCACCGATGACTGACGATTTGCGACTCATATTTTACTCATCTTGTTTTTTTTACTACTTTTAGCCATAGAAAAGTAGAAGGAACCAGGAATAAGAAAATGCTTCTGAAGGCTTTAAGAACAAGGTTTGGTTTTTTAGTGCTTCGATGAAGTTGATGCCAAAGATTTTTAGGGTTCCGGTGAAATCTGACTATGATTCTGGAAAACAAGATCTAAAACCTTTAACTAATCTGTTGACACCCCCTTTCTCTTGATTTTCAAAAAATCTTTTCTTTATTTGAACAGACCAACAAACTCTTAATAATGAACTTTTTTTTTACCCATATGTAAGATTTTTATTGAATCTCTGAGATTTTCTTCTTGTGAATGCAGTTTAATAGAGTGATTTAGCTTGCCAAGGTGCTGATAAGCAGGTAGTTTGTTGTACGTTTCTATTTCTAGCATCAGGTATGCATCACCATTTTTATTACTGCAAACGTATTTGCTTAAAAAATAATATGTATCACTTGTGCTAATTGGAATCAAAGTACCTTGGTTTTGTGATTTTGTGAAGTAGAATATTTAGAGTGGTATATGTCTTTCAACTTTAGAATATATATTCTTTTCCCAATCTTTTTTTTACTTATTTGTTCTTTATATTAGGTCCTTATTCAAGATTTTGGTTGCATATTGCAAGAGAATTTCATTCTTCAGGTATGATTGTTCTTTTTTACGTTTAATTGAGTTTATAAGTTATATTCTTATCTTGATACCTGTTTTTATCTCACATAATTTATTACATGTATGGAGTTCACATACCACTCTTTCTATGTTGGCCATTTTTGGTAATAAATGACAATATACACTTTTTTAGTAGTATCTCTTCCCCTGTTAGAAAGTTTTAACATGTATGCATACATTTTCTGTTTCTCTCATTTTACTCATTATTATTATTGATTTTTTGTATTCCAATATTAATGTTACCAATTTGTTGGTTATGTTCTTCCTATTTACTCTTAAAACTTGAAAAGAAACTAAAACCCATAATGAGTTTCTATGATTGTGAAAAGTGTGTCAGAGGTGGAAGTGTAAAGAAAAAGCTACAAGTACTATTTTTTTTCCTATCTTTTTGTTTGCTTTTCTCTTCTTGATTCCACTATAATTGAATATTTAGGCGAGACCTGGGTTTGTGACATTCTGGTGTACATACTGGTTTACTAGAAAAAACTACCAGCCTAATTTAAGTAGTTCAAGAGGTAATGTTGGGTTACAGATATAAAATGAAAGTAAAAGTGTGTTACAAATATAAAATGGATGTAAAAATATTAGTAATAGGATAAAAAAAAAGAAAAAAAGAAAAAACATGTCGAGGATATTAATACTAAAAAGCACTTTAATTTCCTTTGACATGTTTATTTAGTTTCAATTTTTTGATCTTTACTTCATGCATTCATTTTTTCCCATTTTTTTCACTTTTAATGTAAACAAATTATTTATTTTAATTTACATCATTTTGTTATCCGTTTTTTAGTTTGTGGTTAGTAAGTTGTTACCAAATATTATGTTGTTATCATGATCAAAATATCAAGAAAATACATAAATGTTTTTAATATTTGCTAAGGTCTTAAAAACCATATATTTGACATTTTGATCAATTCATGACTTTTAAAGGGCTCATTCACATCAATAACTTTTAGTTTGAGGTGTAAGGATATTTTGGTCAAACTATGGCTACACCTTCAAGGTTGTTTTAAGTTTCAATGACTTATATTTTAAGTGACTCTTATTTCAAAGGGTTCATTCATATCAATGACTTCTATTAATTATTATTATGCTTATTAAGTTTCAAAATTGTTTTACTTTGCAGGCCCCGTGTAATACACAGGTTATAAGGTTTTTACTTCTTTGTTTAGTGGAGTTTAAGATGGAAAAAAGGAAATACTGATCCAATTTTCCTTCCTAACTCAGGTGATTGTAATATCGTTCTTTTATGTTTATTATTCCAATTTATATTTGTTGTAAAAGACATTGAAGCTCTGCATTTCATTTTCTAACTCAGGTAAATGTTAACTAAGGGTTTTCGTAGCTTCTTATGGGTGTTCGGAAAATATCCCATCTGGTTATGCTTTGTTTTTTTCATTGTTTTTTGGACCATGTTTATGTGTGTGCATTAGAATTTTGCGGGTTTGGACAAAAATGCCCCTGAACTTGGCACTACATCTATTAATCATTGATAAATTGATTTAATTCATCTAACCTCACTGTGTTGCTACCGGAGCTTTGTTGCAAAGTTAATTGCCCTTGATTGTTTGCCTAAATTGTATTGGATCTTCTACCTATACTGAGTGGTATCAAAAGTGTTCGTGGCTGTTTCAAGTTTGGTTGATTTTGCCCCATAAGTTTTTATGGTACATAGGTTCATTTGTGCTTGAGAGGTCATTTGGTTCAACTTTGGCCGATATTACCCATGGGGTTATTATGGTTCAGATGTTACATCTCATCCCGGTTGTACATTACTAAAAGGTTTTTATGGTTTGTTGGCTACCCTTTTTAGTTAACAGCCTTTGATGGTCCACACTAAAAAAGTATAATGCCTTTGTTGGCTCTTCCTTGAAGTACAATGCTATTGTTGAGTTGCCCCTTCGAAGTGTATTGCTATTGCTATCTCCTGGTGTAGCAGTAGTACTTTTTTTTTTAATTCTTTAATTTTTGTGTAGTAAATAGTTTTTATTTATACTTTTGATCAGCCACTGATTGGCTCTTCTATTTTTTACTCTAATAATATTTCATTGCCGTTCAAAAGAATTAGAGATTGATTGTGTGTGTGTATTTCTGTGTTTATATGTAATTGTTGCTGTGTGTGTAATAGTTGTATACAAAAGTATAAATCTTATATGAAAATATAAAAACTTATGTGAACCTTGAACATTAACATTAGTATTATATCAAGTAACTTACATTTCCATTGTTCTTTGTGTGTAGGTGTGTTACTCAGTCGGTTATTTCGGTTTTCAGTTTAATTAGTTCGGTTTAATCGGTTTTTAACGTGTCAAAACTAACCATAACCAAAACAAATGAGAATCGGTTTAATCAGTTGTGAGTCACTGAGTTGTCCGGTTTTGGTTGATCACTTTAACATTTCACTTGAAAAAATATGAAACTAAATAAACAAATAAAATATATTAGTTTTTGATCACCAAAAAAAGAAAGCATTGATACATATAATATTATTCCACTAATTTGTATTTCAATTCGATATATTCACGTGGTTCCAATTTAAAGTTTTAAACACCATCTAACTTTAACAAGTAACAAAAAAAAAGCAGTTGAATGTAGTATGGAGCGGCGGGAGTAATTCGAGCCTTTCACATTTGAGTGAATACGTTGGAAAATATTCATGTAGTAATAATACATACATTACAAATAGAAAATTATAGCAATTATTTATTAATAAGTAATTAGTTAAGTGAAATCTTTAGTAATTAAACTATAAACTTAGAAATAAAATATTTATTTATCAAAATAAAATCTCAAAATATATATTTATTGACTTACTCGGCTTAACCAAATTATAAAAGCTTAACCAAAACTAAACCAAACAAAGTTATTATTATTCGGTTAACCAAACCAAATTATCCAAAACCAAATAATCCAAACATCATTTGTTGTTTTTTTTTTCCGTTATTCGGTTTTGGTTTTTTTATCACACCCTTAATTGTGTGAGTACAAACTTACGAACAAAATAGGTGAATTTACATATGTAATTAAATACTTACAAATTACAAAGTTATTAAAAAAATACATGATTACAATTCATAAGTCTTCCTAAATTAATGATATATTATTTTATTATATAATCAATTTTTTAATTTTATTTAAAATCAACACCCGTGGGTTCCACGGGTTTTAACCTAGTATATATATATATATATATATATATATATATATATATATATATATATATATATATATATATATATATATATATATATATATATATATATCATACGTGGCTTTTTGATTAAGGTCGTATTTATATAACTCAAAAACTACAAAATTTCCAGAAAGGATTCTTTAAAGTTGGATTTATGCAAGTGAAGAATGTCACGCATTTGAGATACATTATAAATAACCACATATTTACGTCAATGCAATACATAGTTTTCCCATTAAAAAAAAAATTATGTATATGCACAAAAAAAAGAGAATATTATGGCCTTTACATTATGGAGTGTCTTTTAAAAGAATTTAGAATTGTTATGCTTTGTTAGAAAATATTATGAAAGAACTTGAAGCATTAAAGGTCTTAACATTTAGGCCTAACTTCAATTCCTTCAATGATGAGTCCTCCCTTTAGCTGATGGCCCTTCACTTCCATTAAATTCATTTTCACCTCCTCACCTTTTTCTCCAACAAAGAATTCTCCAAGCTCAATTTCCATCCATCCATCCTCTCTCTTGTTTGGACGTCGGCCTTCTCCTTCCACCACCAGCTTTTCCATCATTCTCCTCCGGTTCAAAAATAATAAGGATTCGAGCTGTTTCTTTCTTTCATCTAGAGGACATAAATACGCAGTGTTGGAAACGAAGCATTCGTCCTTGGAGACTGATATCTCAGATGCAATAGAGTCCAACCCAAATGCACGATCTGAAACTTGTGTGATGAGATAGGCTCCATATGTCGTGTTAGGAGACAAATCTTGGGTATTTATTCTTCCTTCGATTTCTATGTTAGATATAGATTTAAGCTCTATCACCTCAGAAAATCTGTACAATTCATGAAAATTGTAATGAATGTTAGCATATACTTCGTATTTCATCATTGGATTAGATTAAAATGTAAATATCTAACTAACCTTGATGACGAACGGTTTGTCCATGTCCAATGGTTTGGTTCATCACTTAAAGAAATGGAAAGTGCTCTTGCTGATAGAACAAAACACTTTTTCCCACTTATTTTATTCAAAGAAAAGCTCTGCATGGATTAAACAAAACAAAATTAATAACTTAACCAAAGAATATAGACTTCCATTCTTCAAAAAGTAAAATACAATCAAACTTACCCTGATTCCACCATCTATGAGAACGGAATCACAAAGCTTGAAATACATTTCTTTTTTGGATGAGAAATTAATTTGAGAGTGTATTCTTGAGAAAATAGCAGAGTGATCAAATGGCAAGAATCTGCTCCAAACCATGTCGGATTCAGCAGCCGATTGCAAAGAAGAAGATGCTAGCATTAATCTACATGCATCTGCAGCAGAAGTGAGAGATACAATGGTGGAAACACAGTCTTCCGGCAACATGGTCAATCTGGTGGCCATTTTTAGATTTCAAGATTTCTTGATTTTTTGATGATGATGAAGATGAAATGGAGCGTGAGTTGATGTGTGGATATCTATTGGGATAAAGCGTGGTTTTATAGTAATTGAGATGAATTACGTTGTTTCTAGGAACCAGTTGTATGGCTGACTGGATGTGGTCATTAAAGTCTTTGGCAAGTTGCATGAGAATCATGGAACGTATACTTTATTGCAGTTGAATTGGACTTGGTCAATCATTTTGGGTCATAAATACCCACGGAACATTGTTTTTGTAAGAATAACAAGAGTGGCTTCAAAGTCCATTTGAAATACATTTTAAATTCATTTAATGTATATTTTAAAAGACTTTTTTATTTATTTTGGAAAAAAAAATTAAAAGATGCGTATATGAGTATAAAGTGAAGTAAGTGGAAAGTATGTTTCACGAAGGCCATCCACACCCCGTTGACGGATTGTTATCCAGAAGTTTCAAAGTGACTTCCGAGATATTTAGAACAATGGCATAAGTTAACACGTGCGTTTTATTTTTGATTTTAAAACAAAAATCGACCACTGTCGTTTTTTATTTAACAAATTGATAAAGACCGGGTTGTAATTTAGACCAACAAAATATGGTGGTCGGATATACCATTTCACCATCATATTAAAAAACTAAAAAAAAAAATAAAATCGCCTCATGCTTTCTATCATCATTTGTCCACCATTAAAATAAAGAATAATCGCCTCATGCTTTCTATCACGATATATATATATATATATATATATATATATATATATATATATATATATATATATATATATATATATATATATATATATATATATAGCTAGGGTCAAATGTATCTAGCAATTATTGTGTACCTAAATGCACCAATGAGAATTCAAAAAATACTAAATAATTAAATAAATCATTTAAGAGTATTTTGGACATTTTGTACTTTTAATTAAAGAAATCATTTAATTCAAATCCTGCAATTAAGGAAATAAAATAAATATATTTGACCTAGTCATGTGTGTGGTCGAACACGTTCGTCATCGGCATCAACACCATCACCAAGTTCAGTTTATCATTGCTCGTCTGATCTTAATTCATCACTTGTGGCGTTCTTCATCGATTCACTGATTATCGATTTTTGAAGCCAAAATCGCTATTTGGGTAATCGATTCAAGCCTCTTATGAGTCACGATTCTCATGCTGTCGATTGTTGACTAGATTTATTCTTTATTCAATTGGCTTTATGTTCTTCAATCGAATCTCGTTCATTTTGTGATTTGTGGATTTGTTCAGGCTTGTCGTTCCAATGAGATTATTGATTTAATCATAAATCATTGATATGAGAAATTGATATTTATCGACTTTCTATTTGAAAGTGAGTTATGCTGTTGAACTTAGATCAATGATTGTTCTCTGATAAATTGATGAAATTGTTTGCTGTATTGACCAAATCAAGACTGATCTGTAATTCGATTTGGGAAAAATAATCGTTGTTTGTCAATTGTCTGCAACAATTACTCGTTGGAACTGTAATATTTGAAGAACATCTTCTCTTTCCTGAGTAAGTTTTCCTTTTTTTTTCATGTATATTATTCTTAAACATACAATTTAACACTTCTGTTTAACACTTCTGGTTATTCTTTGTAACCGATAAGTTAAATTTACTCTAGATTGCTGCAATTTTTTGTTGTTAAACTTCACACTTCTATGTAAACTTCTATTAGTATATTGTATTTTTGCATTCATAGGGGTGTCTAATAAGGTAAAACAGAAGTATATGTCTACATTTACTCATTCATGGATTTTCTTGTGAACATATGTGGATAATTTTTCTGTTTCACTCTACAAATCCTTCTTGAGGTGTGAATGAAATTGTGTGTATTCTGTCAGAATTTAGAAGAAATTAGTGTATTATGATGTGAAAGTTGAGTATGAGGTGTGAATGAAATTGTATGTATTCTGTCACAATTTATTTATATGATCCATTCTTTTATAATGTTTGTATTCTAGCAGAATTTGGTTTATGTATTCTGCCAAAATTTATAAATCAAATCATATCAATAATATTATTTTAGAATAGATTAGTGTTTTTGTTAGATTTTAATGGTTTTTCTTTTTCTTTTTAGGCTTTGAAGATTTGTCATTCATGTGGAAAAGAAAGAAAATATGGAGAACAAGAGTGTGTTATAGTAGAATGTATTCCGCCAGAATGTATAAAATGAATCTTAGCAACATTATTTTTTCAGAATGAATTAGTGTTTTTTGTTGGATTTTTATACTTTTGTTGCATTTATGATAGGAATGGCTTGAAGACCTTATAGGAATGACGTGAAGAATGAATCGAAGATTGATCACACTCACAGTTTAAGAATGTTGTTGTTTTTTAAGAATTACACTTGCTATTCTTTCATAATGTTGTTATTATTCAAGAATGTTCTTTTTATATCACAATCATAGAATACAATTATTTGATATATTATTAGTTCAAGAATCGATTTTGTATATTGTTTCATAATGTACTTATTCATGTTTTCTTTTATTTATGTATTCTTAATGTAATTAAATTTGAGTGATTATATGGTACATGTTACCCTATTCTAATATCGTAGACCCTCATATCATGACCATTGATTTTATTCATCTATTGGTGCAGAATTGTGCTTACGGACACACAATAGATGTAGGAAACAAAATAACATAGCCCTATATATATATATATATATATATATATATATATATATATATATATATATATATACTCTAATAAATGAAGATCTATTTTGTCACATATCAATCTGTCATGAGTTTTTAATACTTATCATTTTGTGATATTTTTGAAATAAATAATATTCACATGTCAATTTTTATTTTTTTTCAACTTTAAAAATTAAAAAGCCATATAATAATTATAGTTATATATGTAAATTATTAATTGTAATAAATGTGATAGTAAATTGCAATAAATATGTTTTTTTTTATTATTTTGAAAATTTATTTTAAAAAATATTAAGGTTTACATTTTAATTTTTAATATTTTTGAATCTACCCGTGTAATACACAGGTTTCACACCTACTGTATATAATATATATATATTATATATATATATATATATATATATAATATATATATATATATATATATATATATCTATATATATATCTATATATATATATATATATATCAATTCCAAAAAGGTTGGTGAACAGTCATCTTCTGGATTTTAGAGTTTCACTATAATGTTTACCCACTTTAAGTTTTGGCCACAATATTTTTCCGGTCTTTAAAATTCACCACAAATAATTTGTACATTTTGAGTTTGATCCCTGTCGCCTTCTCCTCCGATCACAATCCTTCATTGCCATTACGGGTATCTTCTGGACCTTTATCCGCTTCCTTTTTTCACCTCTTCCCCACTGGACACTTCACCGATAGTGTCTCTACTTACTCCCTTACTCGATTTACAGAAGGTTATAGAGATGTAAGAGAATGTAAACCAATGTATCTGTTCTTCATCTGTGTATAAGTGTTTCCATAGGTTTGATATGTTCGATTGTTACATGAATGAAACAATGTTTCTCTCTAACCAATTGGGATTTCGATTTTGGGCGAACGGGGAGGTTGGGAATCGCAACCCATGGATGTGATCTTCACCGCGTCCCTCTTCCAACCAACCATCTTTCTCTAATTCTCCATTTCTTCCTTTTCTGTGTTCGATGTTCAAAGGAATATATAAAGATGGTTCTACTAATTTAAGTGCTTTTGATTTGTGAAGGGGTATATACCGTTGGCAGGGTTTCTACAGGAAACGCTCCCATATTAATGCCTCCCTCTTCCACTCAATCATCTTTCTCTATTTGGTATCTTCCTTTTCTATGTTTTACATTGTCTACTTAATTGAATCACGTGGGAGCCCTAATTCGGTTGTAAGTTGCAAATTTTTATGAACCCTTGACCATTTTCTATTGTTAATCCACAATTCCATCTAAGAAACAACACATTATTAGTTACATAGATAAATTGCTTTGACATTTTCTGTTGTTTACTTTTTGCAGGTTCTCTGCTTGATTCTTGAATTGTACACGATGTTTCAAATTGTAACGCCCGTAGATCCGGGCTAATCAATTTAGAGATAATAAGGGTCGAAAACGACTTTTCGACAAAAGATTATTTAGAATAAATAATCTTAACCAAGTTGTAGAATATGTCTCAAGGTTTCCGTACATATAAAGAACGCCGAAATCCGAGTTATAACGAATAAGTTATGACCCGTCGAAGTTTCGCGACGGAACCGGCACGACACCGGGAAGCGTAAATAGTGAATTTACGATAGAGCGACTTTTAGCCTTAGCAACCTAAATGAAATTCATAGAATACATTAAACCGAGAGCGTTCATAAAAAGAACGCCCAAATCTGACTTCGTATGAGGAAGTTATGATTTTTCTAAGTTTCAGCTTAACAGTAGACAGCTAAAAACTCGAATTTTAGATCGAGTGATTTTTAGCCTACACAACCTAAACAAGAATCGAAGGTCTCGTAAATAGTAGTACAACGGTAAAAAGTCTGACGAAAACGGACGTCGGATGAAGAAGTTATGAATTTTTAACGGATTTCATGTCCCGATCTGTTAAAAATAATAATATAAAAATTAAAGTCAAAATTAGCCAATGAAGTCTAAATGAAAGTTGTAGAGCTTAATTTTACCTACGCGTGCATATAAAGAACGTAAAAAACGGAGCCCGTATGCGAAAGTTATGGATTTTAGAAGTTCGGGGCACAAAAATCAAGAAAAGTCCGAAATCCGAGGAATTTCGCATGGCTGGTGTTCGGCCACGTCACCCTCGCCTCGCCTGCTGACCCGTGTCCGATGCTGATGACGAGTCCGAAGCGTGGCACAGTCCGAGACCGACGCGTGTCCGCCTCGTGTCAGCTGCTGGTACGACCGAAGGGAGGTCCAACCGAAATCAGGCGCGTGTTGCATCCGTGGAGGTGTCCGAAGCGAGCCACGTCTAGCCTACAAGCTTCCGACGCGCCTTCGCATCCGAGCCACCTCCGAGCCTCACAGCT